TTAAGTTATATAAAGTTGGTGGCACGAATGCAGGATTAAAAGGGTGAGTAGGGTTGTCGACATTACGACTAAGTGTAGATTTTTTTTTAATCTATTGAAAATATAAAAACCTTTAAGTATATATATATATATTTAGTTATCTTATTTATTTTAACTGCGGTCATGGCATTGCCAATGTTAAAATAGACATTTCGCAAGATATAGTATTAGGGAAAATTATTTAACAACAAACAAAACAAACAAAAGTTACATAAAATACACTTCTTTTTTTCGCAGGAAATATCGTTTAAATAAAACACTTTAACGGTTTAAAACGCGATATATTAGTTAAACTTATTGAAACTGATTTTTAACTTCGGCCCGACGTTTCGGATGCTTTGCAGCAGCCGTGGTCGCGGGGAATATCGTATTTATTCTATATATTATACAGTACTGTTAATATATTATAGTATGGTTGGTAACCCTAAGGGTGAGCGAAGCACATGCAATGGATCCAAACAAGAACTTTGAATTTGCACATGCGCTGTGGCCTTCTAATTCTTTTTATTTTTTACCCGCCACCGTAAAAATACATCATAATAAGGCTGACATAATGTATTACTTTATTATAATTATAGCAAAATATAAACTCAACGTACTTAGTGGTTTGGTCTTAAAGTTAACATGAATACCTACATCTATGTAACGAGTCCATTTAGGTACTATTTAGATATTAATTACTAACTGCGTCAGCGCCTTCGTCCGCATAGATTAGTTGTTTTGGGCATCCAAATTAGTTTTTGCAAATCGCCTTATCTTTATAAATTTTAATTTTTAGCTCTTACCCACGACTTCGGTCACGTCCCGACGTTCTTGCAACTTAATATATAAAGATAGACATATATAGTGTCACGGACATTTTTTTGCATTCTTTAAAGAGAAGTAATTCTGGGGTATCTTGAACCATTTTCCCAACGTACGGATTGGAAACCCTCTAAGATGAATGGTTTTCCCCGTTTCTTTAACATTTCCCGCTGTTTCTTCGCTCGTATTAGCCACAGGACGATGTGTTATAGCCTAAAGCCTTTCTCGATATATGCTCTAACCAACACAAAAAGAAATCTCAATCCGAACCAGTAGTTCTTGAGATTAGTGCGTTCAAACAAACGTACTAACTCTTTATCATAATATATCAGTATACATAAGGAAAATCCTGAAATTATTCTAGTTCGCGTCCACGGTACCGGGAATCGTTACAGCGAATTTTTACAAGAATCAGTCTATAGGTGTGTGATAAAATAACGTCACGGTTATTTTGAGTTTCATTCATGAGAATTTCAGCTGTACACTTGCGTGGCAATTATATAACATGTCGTACGTCTTTGGTAATATTTTTTTGCTTATACGCGCAACAGTAAACAGCGACACGCCCTAGTGGGAGGAAATATTAGAAATATGTGTTATATTAAAAGTTGCATTGATAAATTAGGAGCGATACTTAAAAGATTGATATCGACCTTTGTTGCAATTAACACTGAATCCATTACAATCAATACACAGAAGATTTTTTTCGTGATAGTAGAGGACAGACGATGGATGGGTCCTGGATATTCGAAAATCCACAGACTGAAATCGAAACGATTAAACTTCATGGCTTTCCCACCTTTGGACGCAGTTCAATATGTTTCGGGAAAATAAATTGATTAGAAACGTGTTGACTTTTTGCCATTTCGCCTCACAAAAATGGCACTATCGATATGTATCTATTAGAATTTACGCCTTTCTATTGGTGGCAGCGAGGTCATTGACCTTTGTCTGTTAAATGTCACTCAAAGTGCGACTTTCAATCGTGGCCAAGGACGATTTTAGAAGCTATTGTTGTTTTGATTACATTTAAAAGGGTATTGTCGTGCTTTAGAATACCCCCTTTTACTTTAATTTAATATGTCTTCCTTACATTAATGCAACCAAATAAATAGTGTCTTATAGATAGTTAAATATTAATTTTAAAAATTATTACGCTAAAACATTTAATACGAAACGACAAAAGCATGTTTCATGAATATTCTGATTCATAGCATAGTTGTTTATTTTTTTTAAATACGACTTGTACGGGATAAAAATAGATTTTCTGATGGTATTATTGTCGTTGACTATTGATCTCGTTCATTATATTTTAAGAAACTCGATAGCTAGAGAGTTTAAATTTTTACAAATGTTAAAAACTTGCTACTTACTACATTAGTATTATGTACCAAGTCAACGGAAAATAAGTCTTCGTGCGCGAATCATGTTTTTTCTTGGCTGCTTTTATTGATATTTAGTTCTTTACAAAGTAAAACACTGCAAAGTGATGATGTAACGCGGATAACGCCACGGTACGCCCCTAGTTGTACTGCAAAACAATGCGCATAATATTTATTAGCACGCCCCTATTGTCGGGAGTGAAAGAATAAAACAATTAGCGCTCAACTTAGCTCCAGGTTATTGATCGAAGCTATGTCTATTTCGATGTAATCGAAAATAGCGGTTGCTGTGATAAGTTTAGCGAATGTTTGTTTGAGTGCCATTTTAAGGTCCTAAACTAGTAGACGAAACTTTGGGTAATATTTCCATCAGATTTCTTTTTACTTAACGCGAGTAGTACATTTAAATAAAACACTTTTAACGATTTAAAACGCAATAAATGAATCCCGTGATCCGATCCTGTGATCAACACATCCGAAACGTTGGGTCGTTGTTAAAGTAAATTAATTACACACACATCTTTCGCGTTCTAATCCGTTAAAAGTATTTTATTAAAACTCGTTTAAATTACTTATGTCAAAATGATCTTATCGATTTAAGCTATTTGTATCCCACATCTGAGTTCAGGTCACAGCAAGTTTTTTAACGTCATGCTTTGACACACCATGCTACTACATAACGGGTTGGTGGGCTTATGGCCACTAAATTAGTTATAACTGGGAGCGACGGCTGTTTTATATGATAGAGAAGGAGAGACAAGTTTGATGTTCACTTGATGGTGGATGAAGTACCCCAGTCCTCTAACATCTAAGTAAGATGCGCAGTCGCCCGATTTCGGCTTTGGATATTCGGATTCGGTTTAACGTTCGCGTCGATGACGGTAAATGGTAATGACACCTAGTTCCTATCTCCGGTCTGCTATTATGAAATTTCTCAAAATTTATCCGAACACCGTATTCAGACCCCAAACCTCATCTGTAGTCTAGTAATTTACTACTCACTATAGCGACGCTGCTTTTTTAAATTACCTTATAGCTAAGAATTGTCATCGTAATGCAATTGAAAAGTGTCAAGACCACATGTGCAATTTTATAATCCAAGGTCAGCGTTCTCGAAAACCATTCGCGGTTTTTAGCGAAACTGTTACGGACTTTAATTTGAGTAAATGCGATTGCTCACTTAATAAAATTGTCTCAACACTTCCCCCACATCCCCACGTTTCCGTTTCTGGTAATTCTCGTGACGTGTATCTTGGACTAGGTGTATTATAGGAACATAACTGACGCTTTATAAGGGCTGTAACTGTCTGTCGCTGTCACAGCTGCTGCATCCAAAGCGTCGGGCCGTAGTTATATTAAATTGATATATATATATTTGCGTTTTTTGTTTGACAATGCTGCTACGTAAGAATAAAGAATTGTCTCTAGTTTACGCGAGTAATACACTTCAGTCTGTACATACAATATATACATATTTTTATTATGGTTACCTACTTAATATGTAGTCTCCCCTACATAGAAGTATCCGACACTTCGGGTTGTTGGAATTGATTCTACTTACTTACAATGCTATTTCGCGTTTTATACCGTTCCAATTGATTTATTTAATTCGGTACATATGACCAAGTAGTATTAAATATAACTTTTTTTAAATTTATTATGTACACAAAAACAATATACAATTAAAAAAACATATTTTTAAATCGTTGTGAAAATTTGTTTTATTCGATAGGTTACTCGAAATGCATATACACCAATAATAACGAATTTTAATTGAAATTAACTCAAACATAATAATTTGTTCGTAATAACAAACTTATATTGAAAACGAACGCCATTTTTAACTCATACGCATCATTAACTACAGTTGAAGCCGCTCTAGGAGATCGAAGCCACTCCAATATCTACTGAACTGTTGCCACCCGCGAGCTGTATGCAAAATTCAAGCACCACCAACTGAAACGTAATTTCTGTAACCGAGATTACGTCTCCAAGTGGCCAATTATAAAGTCTAAGCGCTGCGCTTGCCTGTACTAATTACACGAGGTGTACAAAGCCTAGATTCTTTTTAAATGTCTTACAGCCGCTGAGATCCTCATTGGATCTAGTGCTAAATTCGTCTTCTACTATTTTGTATACCGCAGAACGAGTATAATTATCTAATGTAAAACAAGTTTTTAAACTATCGTTGTAATTATACTTGTTTTAAGTGTGAATGCATTAGTAATGATTTTTTAAAGAGAATTCGATTAAAAGTATACATCACATAGTCTGTTTAATGTAGAAAATACATTTTAACAATATGTTAAGTCAAATATCAAAGATACTATGTTCATCTACTAAAAGTGTGACGTCATGGAAATATCAAAGTTAAGACTTAAGATGAGCTTAATTCGTATGTTTTTACAGCGCTTTCTTACAGTACTTGTAAATTATACATAATATAGTTTATCTAACATACAAATAATATTAATTACTTCGCATTTAAAGCTGTTTGGCCGTCGTAATTAGGAATAGCTTCTGTTCGACGGACGTTTCGCCGTCACTCATGAATGAATCTCTGAAATCCTAACCATGCTTTAAGTGCTGTTGAGAGCTCCTCAACTAAGCCAAGACTCAATTACAATGGTCGAAGTGCAAAGCATCCGAAACGTCGGGCCGTAGTTAAAATAATTTCCAATAATTCGCGTTTTAAACCGTTAAAGTGTTTTATTTAAACACACTTTTTTGTTGGTTTCAGCCGCTATGAGTGACCCGTGTTAGCGGCTGGCGGTGATGCAGCGAGCTCACGTTAGTGGCGTGGGCGCCCCGCAGCCGCCCCAGTCTGCCCCGCAGCATTACCGCTCCCAAACGCAGCACTACGGGGACATTGACGATCAGGTAAATTTGACCTTGGAGTCGGATAAGCTATTGAAGTCGTTCAATTGCAATCATTCGTGGGTTCAAACCTCAAAGCGTCCACCACGTTTCTCATCAATTTTTTTTTTGAAACATGTTGGGCTTTAGGTCGAAATCAGGATCAGGAAATCTGGGTAAATTGAATTGGTGGTAGAAATATCTAAATTCCGTACATGTCACGAACTACCGTCCACAGATGAAAAAGCAGTTTATTTTTTTTTTTTAATTTTTTTGTTATTGCAGTTTAATCGCGGTTCAGTTTGTGGATTTGCGAATATCCAAAGTCAAAATACAGGTCGATAGCGCATTGTTAAGATAATATAATGGCTGGGTCACTTATATGACCTTTCTCCTCTATTGTAAAAAAACAATTGGCATTCTAATTTCTATGTTTTTAGGGTCCGTACCAAAAGCTAATATATTAGTTTTTTGTTAAGACTGTCTATCTGTCCGTTTGTCACCAACTAAATGTATCGGGACCATAATCAGTTAAAATGTTCATAGATTATATATTTCGTGCCGCTCCAAAACTAAAACAACAACAGTTTCAATAAAATTTTTGTGCACATAATATACTTTATAACATTAATTACAAAAGAAGTAAGTTAAAGTAATTCTCACATCTAAAACTAATCTGGTTCACTCCACGGATTAAGGTTTATAGTTAATCCATTCATAATGCGGATTTATAATATACCGTAGTCCATAAAACATTAGATACTATGTATTTGTAAATTGCGTTATAACGAAAATGCTGACGTATCACCAAGCCGTATCAGCGATGCGCGATGGCACATTAAATTTAAGTAGGTAATTTTGAGTCGGGTACGCGATCATTGATGATTGATTTCCCAAAAGAATTAATTGCATTTTAATCATGAACGACCTTGATGGCCCATATAATAATACTCAAAGAATCTATTAATTAACTCACGATAAGGTAAGCATGTGAACTGACGTAACATTACAATTTATAGAAGTAAAGAATACTGTCTGTAATTTACGCAAAGGCATTAAATAAAATACTGATAAACGGTTCGGAATGGGAAATATTTTAATAAAATTGCGTCGTAATTAATATTTGGAGAAATATTTGCATCCTTACAGGAGTAGACTTGGTTTTGTCGTTTTCAAATCATGTATATACATTTATAGTATTTGAAACAATGATGTGTATTACATCAGACACACTTATTAATACCTAGACGATACTCTCATCCCGAGTAGGCATTGCCACAGATAAAATATTGATAAGGTCAAAAATTACGTTAGGTATTCTTTGTGTGATTCTCTTGACTTAATTATTAAACAATTAATTTTAAAGCTGTTATATTTATTTGGACTAGTGGACAAGGTTCAGAAATGTAGGGAAACGGTATTTTTCTCAATCGCTACGTTGTTGATTTTCAGATACCAGCGTCAGTGATCAGTAGTGTGGGAACAGTTAGTCTATCGCAGTCCACCACCAATCCGACCCCGAATAACACAATGGCAAATCCTACCACGCCCAGCAGTACAAATGGAAACCACACCCCGGCGCAGCAAACGCCCACGCAAGCGCCGATCCGGAACTTGCCAAAGAAACGGAAACTGGCTCCTTCCGAGCTAGAGGAGATCGAGAGGAACTGCATGAACAGTCTGCCCGAACGGAATTTGAATGTTCCGGTGACAGCACCGCCTGTTGACTACACGCCTGCCTACCAGCCCATACTGCAACCGTCGCCGATAGTCCACCGCTCCTCGCCCCACGAGCACAAGTTAGCTGAGTACGTGCATTACCCGAACATAGACTTATCTGAGTGGCGAGATCACAGGGTCCTAGCGAAAAGACGCGGGATCTACACACCAGGTGTGATCCGGCAGGCGGATGGTTGCAAAGTGATAGTGGAGCTGGACGGCCAGGAGAACGAGCCAGTGGAGTATGGCGATGTGTTCGGGGTGAATAAGTACGATGTGATCAGCGACGCGAGCCCACAGCTTAGCCATATCTCCATCGGCTCCTCGTGCGTGGTGAGGACCGATTCGAGCAGGGACAGTGTCCAGAATATTTTCGTCGAGGGCTTCGTCTTCGAAATTCACAATTCGCCCATCAGGATTCGTGTTAGGGTAAGTCTCTAACTGTACTCCCGTCTAACATTGTATTTCCTTATATTCAAATCGTCAACTAATATCAAGTCAGTCTCAGCTTAATGTTTAAAAAAAATTCATAATTGTTCGATTTAAAAAACTTTTGTTAATTATACGTAATTGGCCACTGTGCCATTTTCAAGCCGCAAACGAAATCTTGTTTCTCTTATCGTTTACATTTTAATCCAACGACTGCCTCGCTGGTCTAATGGTACCAATGTATGGCTAATAATCAACGGGTCGTGGATTCGATCCTCACCGGATTTATTTTCCTAAAATTAAAAGTGAAATCCCGTTTCCCCCTCGTGGGGCATGGGGCGAACACATTTCTGTGTCCGTTTCACTGATCTATTTTTTTAACAGGCAAGTAGTTGATCAAACTTCTGTGCCCTACCCGACCGAAACAATTTTTTTCCCCTGGGTTTCGAACCCAGGACCTCTTGCGCGTAAAGCAATACTAGGCAATACGTTTAACCATTTGGCTACAGAGGCGGTCATTATAAAATTAGGACTTCTGGAAATCTAGATATCAAATGGGTCGCAGGAATACCAAAATTTTGTCCCAGTCACGAACCGTTCACAGATGATAAATCGTGAAGGTTAATCGCGCTTCGGTTTCAGTTTGTGGATTTCCGAATGTCCAAACCAGGTCGATAGCGGATCTCGTTGAGGGTTTTATGTAGCTGGGGTATTTCATCTTTCACCAAGTGTTACCTACGTTCTTTGTCCTCGTTGTCTGCCCTCCTCTATCATAATTAAAATAAGAAAAGAAAGAAGCAGAGAAGACGAATAGACTTTTTCCAACTTTCATTCAACGTCTGACAGATGCACTTTAAAGATCACTTACACACGTGTCGATAAGATATATATTATGTAGAGCCTCAAACAAGTTTCACACAAGCAGGAAAAAGGTTCGACATTCCTTTGATCGTATTATCGTACGGAGTATAATATCGCCCTCTCCTTGGAACGTTTTTGTTAGAGAACAGCAAAGTAGACCCGACATTCCTTGAAGGTTGAATTATTCTTGTGCTAATTAAAAGGCAGACGAGAATATGCAGTTTTAACTCCACGTATAAAGCTCAACATTTTTACGATTTTTACCTGATCTAACATGTCTTAAAATTAACTTATAATTTATAAAAAAACATATTTGACTTCGTTCTAAACATGTTGGGTATTAAATTAGTGGTAGGAATACCTAAATTACGTTCGGATCACGACGACAGGGGTTTTGACCTCCGGGAAAAAAATAAAAACAAAGAAAAATAAGCTATAGGATTCCAAGCGTCTAATAAAAACGGACCACCGCGACTATATTTGTGGTTACAATATGTACAGTGTCGTTGTATACTTAACTTACAATAAATATGGTTTCGTTCTGATTATCAAAAGATCGTGTCTGAATCAAGTGCTAGACTTCCAATACATAAAAAACAAAAAAAACGCATTTTATATGAATTACTTACTTTTTAGGTTATGACTTAATTTTTAATTCAATTTAATGTTTAATATACATATTAAATATACGTTTATCTATTAGTATTATTAACACACATCAACAAATAAGAAGGTTCTTCACTGTTAGACAATATCCTTAAGGTTTAGTTTATTTTTCTTATAAAAAAATAATTTCCAGTATATTTAAAGATTAATTGATACCAATAAATATATATGTTCTATTTGTACTAGTTGATAAATATTTTTTTTTTAGGTCCTGGATGGAGAAAGCATAAAGGAAACGGTGGAAGTGAAGCGGGCTGATATCCGCCTCCTTCAGCCGCCCTGGGCTGATGAGCTCGAAGATGCCGGCTCCCACGCCACTATGATGCCGCAGCACTTACGAATACACCCTGTATCCACTTGCGTGCCGGTAAGTCAAGTTTATATATATATTTTATATTATACAATTTTAAGCAAAGAAAATATACTTATAACTATTGTCTATAGTGTTACATTTAAATAAAACACTTGAACGGTTTAAAACGCGATATATTCGTTAAACTTATTTAAATAAGTATAATAAATACTTATTTTTTTTTTATGTGTACTTCTCGCGTGAACTATAGACAGTATTTATAGTGTTACATAAGGCCGAAGAGTTTGTTTGTTTGTTTGCACACACTTATCTCAGGAACAACTGGATCGAATTGAAAAATTACCTTTGTGTTGGGTTTTATTTTTGGTAGAGCATTTCTGAAGGAAAGCTTTAGGCTTGAACATCACGATACGTTCAATAAGAGCGAAGGTGTAGTGGTGATGGTAACAAATATAATTTATACAGAAGAGGAGGTTTGCTAAAACAAATTTTGATGCCCGAAATTCTAAGCAGACGAAGTAGCTAGTACAGCTGTCATATGTCTGGCATCGCGTTAAGCACAATAATAACAGTAAAGATCAACCAGTCAGATACATAAATGTGTCCACCCCATGCCCTACAGAGGGAAACAATATGTTATTCACAAATCATACATCGAGAAATAATGTAATTCCCCCCCCCCCTACTATCAGTACTCCATGGGTGGTGGTGACTTCGTGACGTCATCTCCCCTAGCCGGAGCCGGCCAGGTTGTGACAGTGGGCGCACTGTCGAATGGTTCCAGGCCGTTCGACGACTATGGGGAAAGCGACGACGACTTGCCCAGGGAGGACATCATGTTCCCAACGGATGCGTCACATATGGGTGAGAGTTTTATATATCTATATATGTAAACTTTGTTTAGTTGATATTCTAAATATAACAATAGTACTAGAATAAAAATATACATAATAAGCGTTCTTAATGTTTGGTTTGATACAGTTTATATTTTCTTAATTTTTAGAAAGAGTAATATTTTTTTTCTATTATTGTTATTTTGTGTTATTATTTCCGTTACTCTTGGTAAAAGAAGATAAAACCTTTTTTCGTTTTCCTTGTCTTTGTTAAAAGAAAAATAGTTATAATTTAGGTTCAAGATTGTAAAGTTTTTAAATCTATTAATTCTAATTCTATTCTCGCGTCTAAGATCTATAGCCCTAGCTTTCTCTTTTGCCAATTACGACGCCATTTAAACGTATAAATCATCTTTTGAGGATAGTATTAGCGTAATAAATATTTCCTCTCTCATCCGCAGACTGCAGTAACAGCAAGCGCAGCAGTCTCCAAAGTCGAGGCAGCACCTCGAGTCTCATTGAAGGGAGTCTAACTCCGCGATCTCAACCACCTACACCTAGGTAATTATAATAATAAAATTCTTGGTCTGTATATCAATCGGGGTATGTCTTTGATAACAAGGTGCTATAAATTAAGAGATTTCACATGATTTATTGACTTAGTGTTGGTCCCTCCAGTCTATCCAAAACCTAAATATTTATAATGTGCTTAGATCTCAAGCAGCAACCCCCCACAAATACAAGAAAGGTGATGTGGTATCAACTCCGACCGGCATTCGTAAAAAGTTCAACGGTAAGCAGTGGAGGCGGCTATGTTCGAAGGACGGCTGCACTAAGGAGAGTCAGCGGCGCGGCTTTTGTTCCCGACACCTATCACTACGTGGTGTGACTAGATCTTCAAATACACCGCTCGCACAGGGCTCCACTCACACACCACAACAGAGGTATAATACATGAAATATTTCGCATTTAAAGAAAAAAATAAAGTAAGGATAAGAACGGAAATGTATAATTAGTGAGGTGCATATGAATAGATTCTTCGTGATATAAATAGATTTTTAATTTATTCTGCGCAAGCGCCTTTTAATAATGATCCCTGCGTAAAATCAAAAGATTATCCTCAATTCTAGAAGTAATTTCACATGCTCGTAGGTTTAATGATGGCAATGCAAGCTGGATATTCACCGGATCGTGGCTTCGATCCCCACACTTCTGGAGACGGTTGGAATATTCTGTGGATTTCGGAACGTCTATTGTTGAAGTACTGATGTAAACGTCATGCTTTTCAGTCTTCTTATATCATAAAAAAATACTCATCATTGTTTCTATAATAACTATTGCAGAAATATGCGAATATTGATATTCATCGGATGATTTTAAAGATATAATATTGCTACTTACAGAAGCAGTAGTAAGTCTCTATCATCCAGCGGAACGGGCGTTGAAGGAGATGAAACGTCTAGAGAATCGGACACCACCCCTCCTAACTACCGCGTCACGGGGCGCTTTGACCCAGACGAAACGGAGGCTGCTAATATGCTTGGTAAGGTTACTCATAGTTTAATTTAGGACATTGATATGAAGTCTGAAGTGTTTGTGCCTTCAGTACTACCTGTTTACAGAAATATTACATTAAAAACCCATTTTTATTTAAACAAAATCTTTGACATGGGCGAGGCTTGAATTCAAGTCGATAGCATTCTGTAGGTTTTAGCAGTTGAGCTATTCCGTCGAAATTTAACCCATAAAACTTTGGAATTTACTTTCTGTATAAGACAGTCATCGTCGTTATTTAGCATTCAAATAATCTCGTACATGACAGCTAACTAGAAACATTTTATTTTAAATGTCGCATAACTAATAATACATAATAGTTGTTTTTAAGGAAATAAAGGCTGTCGCCTTCTATAGTATTCTCTATATAACAATTACATGTAAACAAATAAACTAATGACAAGTTTTTTCACAGTATCACTCGGCAGCTCGCGGTCTGGGAGCCCTGGGGCTTCGCCCGTGGGAGACAATGTCTTTGTACCAATCTCGTCGCCACAGCCGCCCGCTGCTCCACCGCACCATTTAATAAGGTAAATATATTTTATACAGATTGATATTAGGACAATTTTTTTTAACAACAACAAAATTAACTATTAGAATACCTTGCTTATCGCTTAGAAATATGTATTTTTCAGGTAAAGCAGAGTATATGTAGTATGAGTATATTATTTTGTTTGTCAAGGATGTCAGCTACATTGACACCAAATTTTATGAAAATCGGTCAAGTCATTTCGCCATGCAAGAGGCACAAACAAACATATTCATTCTTCCAAATAATCATTCAATGAAACAAGCATTGAATTTGCATCATCTTTAATGCTAGTAGACAGAACATAATGTATATTACAAATCGTTAAATCATATTGTAAGTGAAGTTTTTTTAAACAGACCGGAACTGGTGCGCCCGGGCAGAGTAAGCTCTCCGACTGGAGTAGCTACAAGTGTCATTCGAGTTTCGCCGGCTCCAACTTACCACTACCAATATCAGGTATACCCCTTGCCTTTGTTTTAAAAGGAGTAGCCTAGCAGTGCGTTATTTGAACTATACGCATTAGGTTAAGTGACGAACGTCGGATAGATTTGCCCCCTGTCCCTCGTTTAATCGAAATTTACACACAATATAATATGATTATGAAGTATTAGATACAATGCATTACTACTTATAACCATTACGCAAAATAAATTGTAACCAACCTCACTAAAAAACAAATAAAAAAACTAAGAAAGTTATGATCAAGATTAAAATAACATAATTTATAGAATTCTAAAAACTTTTATTACGAATCCCTATGGCCACCGCTACTAAAACATCGAAAACATCGGGCCGTAGTTCACTAACATACAACATGTCTTAAACCCCAAGATGGCTTACTTAAAAGACTTTTCGAAACTTTTTTCGAGTATTATTTGATAGATACCCTTCATCTTAAGCCCCCCGTTACCACGGCTGCTGCGATAAATCCGAAACGTTAAGCCATAGTTAAAATTAATTGATAAGAAGATAACTAAAACATTTCGCGTTTTAAACCGTTACAAGTATTTAATATAAATATGTAAATGTTATCTTATATATATTTCATTAATTAACCCCAAAAATATTTTTTTCAGGTGGAGCGCAACGGTCCAACCCTTCAATCTACGCCTTCGAATATCATAAGTATTCAGTCCTCTGGTATAAACATCCCCAGCAGCATACAGTCAAACTTCACACCGCCGATGAATTCAACGCCGAACCACTCCAGCATCTCCATTATCAACAGCATGAACAGCCAGGGCCTGACCAGCATCGCCAATTCTCTGCGAAAAACCGACGACGTGCCGCATAACCTGGTGCTGCACAGGAGCGTCCCTTCCGCTAACGGGTTAGACATGGACAACATATACCGCAATCAACCGGTGCACTTGAGGAACGGTCTTCACGATATGCAGGTAACTCAAAAAATAAATTAACTATTATCCATAACTCAGGAATGCTCTTTTAACCGTTTAAAACGAGAAACTTATTTACAGTTTATTTTAATTTAGTCGTTGTAATTTGCGTGTCCAAGGCAGCTGCAAAGGAAGCGGAAAATCGGGCCATAGTTAAATGTGTACTACTATCGTAAATAATTAACGAAAGATTAAACTAAGTTTGAAGAAAAGATCAAGATTTGGTTTTTTATAATTGGACGCCTTGGCGTTGTTTATGAATGGCATTTTTCCACTCAATAAAAGTCGCGAGCGAAAACTGGTATCAATACTATTATAAATCAGTTGAAATAGTGTGTCCATAATAGATAAAATTACAATCAAAATGTGGATATTTTTTAACAAAGTCAAATGACGATAATACCCTATAACTAAAAGATACTTCACTATCGTAACTATGTCCCTTTATTTCTGAAAAAAAAAATCTTATTTGTTAATTATAATTGAATAAGTTTTTTTGGTGAGTTTGTACACAATTCTCTAAATAAAAACCTCCACTTACAGTACAGGCGTGAAGAGGCGACGTCGCCGGCGGGTAACCATGAAAATTTTCAGAATAGAAGAGTCTCGGAGTACGACGACGATGACCACTCTGTCCCGCAGACGGAGGGGCATCGCGCGCGCGCGGAACGTCCCATAGAGCTCTCCGAGGCTCGTTTAATCGAGGACAAGCGGATTGTGAAGCCGGCGCCGATCCAGGCCAGGTTCGTGTCGCTGCTGGACGCCGACTCGAAGGACCAGGTGAAGCGGTTCTATGTGATACCGCAGAACAGCCTGGAGAAGAAAATCGTGCTCATTAAGAACGAGCCGGCGGACGCTGTGCAAGTAAGTACTTTTCATGTTAGCCACTCAAGTTACTAACAAGATATTTAAAAAATATATAACTATCTTTGTTTTAAAGGATTTGTAAAGGGTTAAAAAATATTTATTTCTTACAATTTACCTTTATATCTATAATATTTTATCAGAATGGTGTACTGTATTACCTCGTCTGATTGATCTTACTTTAAAATAATACATCTGTCTTTTTTTACCATAATCATTGGTTTACTACAAAACACTAAAAAATTACAAAATAAAAGATATGACAACAATATTACAATGAAATGGCATGGTGAATAGATTTGCAGGCACAATACATTTACCAGTAAAAGTCCACCATATCTTTCTATTGTAGAAAACATTTTACAACAAGTAAATCTTTAAATGTCTTAATAGAAGTAAACATTCCTCAACAAGTAAATCTTTAAATGTCTTAATAAAAGTAAACATTCCTCATTGCAGCTACTTTGTTTTGATTTTGAACACTTGGCTACCACTATAAAATCAATAACTAAAACACCTACTTACGAATTATTTTAACTCCGTCTGCGGTGCTAGTCCCTTAAAAGAGTTTATTTTAAATTTGTTCTACTCGCTTAATCTATGTACGTACTATAAGTCCTGTTTACTTCTAGTTCAAGTAAAATGATTGTGACTTTTTGTCGACCCTTACAAGATGTACTGTTAAGGCATGTCCCGTTACAGATAGATCACAAAGCGCATCAGCTAGCGACGCCGCTCAATGAACCGGAGCCCGAGCCACGTAGTCTAGACAATGGCGAACATGTATGTATTATGTTATATTTAGATATTAAAATAAATCATAAGAAGCCTAAGAAGTAGAAGTGATGATGGGCTTCCATATTAGACCAAGTCCTTCTTGTTTCGTATCTTTTATTTGAATTGGGGTATTTTTCATTCTTTCCCTAATGCTGTTAGTGAGGTCTGAACTTAATAATGGTACCTTACACGCTTGTGCGTACAGTGTCTCACTACAATGAACTATAATTTTTTTATTATGTCAAATAGTTTCTGTGATAAGCTCGAAAGACAAACATACTCACTTTATAATATTAGTGTGCATTATATTAATTAAAAAATCCGGCCTGTACTTTGAAATTTAAATAGACATTGAGCTTCAATATTTCTAATAGCTAAACCAAATAATAAATGTTCATTTATTTAATTCATATATATGTACTCTGTTCTTGCAGGTAAATAATGTGAATAATAGTGCAGTAATCGTCCATCCCAGTCAGCTGTTACCTGTGCTACCTCCCCCCACATCCCACACTGCTATCATCGGTGAGTTGCTTCCATTGTCCAAAAGTATTACAATTAATGTTATTTAATTAAATGGCATTAGCTGTAAACTCGACAACAGTACTGAAATACTAGAGAATATCTCTTCATAAAGTCTATTGTGCGCACTACTAGTTTATAAAAAAGTAATATTCAAATGCTTCGTAACGTAAAATATATTATTAGTAAGTGTATGTGTTTAGTGTCAACGAGCGGTGTATCCAGTGGCGTGTTTCCGTGGCAATCGCTGGTGCCACTGCTGCGTGCCGCCTCCCCTCCGCCCGCTGCGCCTGCGCATCCGCCCTCACCGCGCACACCCCGTACCCCACACACCCCGCACACTCCTCACACGCCTCATACACCGCACACACCACATATCAAGACTGAGGATCAGATTAAGACTGAGAGTAATGGTAAGTCATGGAAAACTGGATTACAAATTGGTGTTAGGATCATTGAAAATTTCGTCCGGGACACGAACCACCGTTCACAAATGAAATGAGATGCGTTCGGTTTCAGTCTGTAGATTTCCGAATATCCAAAGCCAAAATTGGTCGACAGTGCATCTTGTTTATTTGTGAAATGGCTTGAAATGAACCCCGTGTTTGTCTGTCTCCTTCTCTTAATAAATTATGTCATGGATTTAACCTTTTAAACAATATTAAGACTGAGAAGACAGAGAGAGACAGAGAATTTAATTTTTGATATTCTTATTCTTTCATTATTACTTCCTGTTTTACATAATTTACGAATAGTCTTATACAATCTAAAGATTCGTAATAGTAAAAATTAAACTTTTTCTTAATTCTACAAGGAAAAGGAAACGGTAAATTTAATAAGGAAACGGTTTTTTATTTACTTTAATATACAAATTTATTATTTATTTTAATATAGACACGGTAACATCCATGTGTACGGACGAAGACGACGAAGTGTTTGAGTGTGAAGAGACCGTACCTAATGGAGGTGATAACACGAACAGCCGACGCTCACAAAGTCTCTCTTCTCTCAACCAAGCTGGAGGACCCGAGAAGGTATTCATTCATTATAAATAAGTCATTCATATTCATTATACATTTTAACTTTTTGGCCATGGTATTGGTGTTAGCGAGACCTTACGTATCTGCTGCCTAATCTGTAACTTGTCGACCACGCCTACCTATTGTTTAAGTTTATAAAAAGGATAATATATATACTGTTCGTAGTTATGCGAGTAGTACACATTTAAATATAACACATTTAGACTCCACGTGACCACAGCTGCTGCAAAGCAACTGAAATACCGTGCCGTAGTTAAAATGCATGCGCGTTTTAAACTGTTAAAGTGTTTTGTTTTTGTGTTGTATTTAAAAAAGGATAATATAGGTTAGACAACTTTTTACTTTAAACTAAATATCACATTGAAATGTATTAAATAGTTATTCTGGTATTGCAATAAAATACATTTTACGAATTATTTAATTGATTATAGTCGTTATTGGTATGTTTATAAGAACGTATTTCTTTTGTTGTTTTTTTAGAACCTTTTTTTCTATAATCCGATTCTAGCTTGAACTGTATCCTCATTATGAGGCAGTTTCATTGTGGGAGTATTTTACAGAAGGAGCGCCGTATCCGTCGTCCCATGAACGCATTCATGATTTTCTCGAAGCGTCATCGCCAGATGGTGCACCAGTTGCATCCGAATCAGGACAATCGGACAGTCAGTAAGATACTTGGCGAGTGGTGGTATTCGCTGAAACCGGACGAGAAGCAGAAGTACAATGAGCTTGCCAGTGAGGTATGTATTATTTTAATAATATACATTTAGATTCTAAGAGAAACCGTTAGAAATTTACATTTTGTCCAATTAAACATACAACATATTTAAATTGCATTGTTTTAAAGGATAATATAACTAAATATCTCTAAAATAAAATTAAAACGAAAAGTGTGTATTTAAAAGTTGCACACAATTATAGCTTAAAAAAATTACAAGGGCAACTCCTAAAACAGTACCCACTCATCATCATATTTTCAATGTTCTAATAAGTAATGTAATCATCACACGTATATAAAACTTGTCACTGTACTGCGATTAGTTTAAATGTAATTTTTCATTCTAGGTAAAAGAGGCTCACTTCAAGGCACATCCTGAATGGAAATGGTGTAATAAGGATAGACGTAAATCATCCAGCAGTCGAGATCCTACGGGCTCCATGCCACAGGTAAATAATATGAGAAACAGGTATTATTCTTCTTCATCTCGCTCTTGAGTATTATCTGTGGTTTACGCGAAAATACTAATGGTTTTAAACGCAAACTATATTAGTTAACTTACTGAGAAACTAGGTTTATTTTAACTATGACCCGATGTTTTGAAAGGGGAAGAAAGAGCCATCTTACACAGGGGAAGAAAGAGCCATCTTTGGATGTCCCTAATGTTAAAGTCAAATTGCCACGCTACGCTAGCGCCATCTGTGTCGTCGTAATTGGTGTTAGAAACTCATTCTCTCTAGACCGCATAGACTAGAAATATGAGAAGACTTGTATTAATGTATATGGATAGCACCTCTTAAATATCGATCTACTTTACAAGTATACTTGTATTTTTTTATATTTATTTATTTTTAAACTGATTTGAGAATTTCCGTCCTAAACAGAGTCCCCGAACACCGTCCGACGTCCTCAACAGCGGTGTACCGGCGAGCGGTGCAGAGATGACGATTAACTCAAATTCATACAACCATAATATCCCTTCGCCTCAACTTAGCGATGATGAACCTATGGTAAGAATATCGAAAATCATCGTTTCTTTGTAAATTCCATAACCTGGATTTAAATAATTCCCGAATGTTTACTGTATAATAAAAAGTGTATCTTTCAGAACTGAAGTGGCCATGTTTGTCCTGGCTTAATGGGCAATAAAACTGATCACTGATCTTACATGAGAAGAAGGTTACCTTCTATGTTCTATCTGACTGAAACACATTTTCAGTGCGTCCATTTACACTAAAAAGCAGATGTAAGACTTGATCTTGGTTTTACTTTGTTGTACTTTCATATAAAAATTGTGTGTTCTTTTATTCCACAGATAACACAGAACGTAGAAGAGCCCCTCCCTCCACAACAGAGCTCGAATGATATAGATCTCAAGTGTGGAGAAAAAGTCAACGATTCAGACTCTGAAGGCATCGAAGCGAGGGAGTATTTGACGCACCATGACCATACCAGACGCCCTAAGGCTATTAAGGCTAGGTAATTGATAACTTAATGTTTTAGTATTGTTTGTAGTTTACGCAATTCACGTTTATGAAAACTCTTAAGGGTAAAAATATCGTGAAATATATTACCAATTATTGCCTAACAGTAAAGCCTTATTTAAATTAGACTAATAAATTCTAAGCGGTTGATCTCAGAATTTATCATTGTATTCTGTAAATACAGATTTTGTTATTTCTATTAATTCTAGGGCTGGCTCTTCTGATAACCTGCTCGGGATCACGGCTTCAAGTCCCGGCGGGTCAAAGGTGTTTCAGCCCACCGGAGGTGCATTTAAATCTACACATGCTGATAACGGTAATTGAACTATCTAAAAATTATCATGTAGTGCACATTTCTCTCTTTTTGCCCTTCTTCTTTTGAAACGCTAACTCACACGAGTCTATCTTTTTTAATAGGTGATAACCACAGGCAATGGACGGCATTCACCGCAGTGAAATCTAACGCGAACCAAGTGCCAAATTCGCCACACCCCACAACATCGACAAGCACGCAGAACATCACCAATAGCGTGCAAGGAATTTCGCTTAACACGCCGAATCTATCGACGCAAGCGGCACTCGATAATGCGATCGCATCTATCATTAACAGTCCGTCAGCAAATAGTGGTGTGCAAGTGATATCGACTGGAATGTCGATACCGCAATCTATGCCCCAGTCCGTACCTCAATCGATGTCTTCTACTACGAGTGCTCTGAATAATGCTTTGTTAAAGAGCGTTACGTTAGTCAATAGAAACTTCAATGACAATAAACCTTCTGGTAAGATTTTCTGGACTTTATACGTATTTTTTGAGGGTAGGTTTTCTGCTCTTTCTTTAAGATACTAATGTCCTTATTTATCTGTAAGACGAGTATTTGACTTTTTTAATTGAGGCCACTAAATATTTGGTTATATGTCTCGAATTTAGGTCTGTGTCGAATTTGTTAAGATTGTTGTTAGTATTGTAATTAATACTCACATTACTTGTAGGTCCCATCACACTATCTGTTGATGCATCTGGCAATTTATTCATAAAAACGAGCCAACCGAACGAACCGCCCAACGACTCCAATCGTTTGCATTACGTACACTTGCAGCGGCTTTACGTCCCATCATTTACTACAGGTACGATTAGAGCAAATATATACAATATTCGGCTCGAAGGACCAACATTTCAGAGTTTGAGTACCTTCTTACCTTTTGAGTTTAAAAAAATATTAAGATGCTAAGAGGATCTACCGGTCTGTCACTATATTTTAAAATAATTATGTTACGTATATTTTTTATTTTATTTCTAGAAGTGGAAACAAATCAGAACCAGAGCCAAAGTCAAACTGTGCACAGCGCTCCGCCTTCGGTGATAGTTTCACAGAGCAACACAAATATGAATAACAACAGTGCTAATAATATAGCACAACAGACAAAACCCAAGTAAGTTTAAATTTTTATATCGATTCCTTTAAGATATTATTCGTGATATTTGTTGCTTTCTTTTCTTTTGTAATAGTAATAAATAACATATATACAATTAAATCCTTGATACGTAACAATATATATGTGTAAATCGAAATTACTTAATACTAATGAATACTCTTGCCTAAATACACGCTTCTTTGCCGAGTGTGACTTGTAATTGATAAATTTCCGTCTCGCAATTTATTATTATATTTTTTCCAGTGATTGGGAAACGGTAGAAGAAACACGACCTTTCCCTCTCGCACCAACTCCGGCGCAGCTGGGGAGGGCACCGCTGCAGAAGAGGCTTAGTCGAGGTAATAATGTAATGTAGAAAATACTATTACCCACGTACGGAACAAGAGATCGGACTTTTATTTCATCATTGGATTCAAAAGGTATTTTTGGCCATAAGTCTGCTCCTCTTACCTCAATACTTTATTATTAGGTACATCTACCGGTTCCACGGGCAGCGGAGATCAGAGTGTACCCAGATCGGGCCCAGATAACAACCCGACGAACCCATACGATACACCCGAATCCATACAGTCTCCCAAGAAACTGGAGAACCTTCCCAGCCCCTCACTTAAGAAGACTTTGTTCAAGAAGGGCAATGAGGACGGAAGGGATAAGTAAGTTTGAGTAATTTATAACTCATGAAAACTTAAAGACAGTCTATGGTTCGAGGATACCAACTACATTGATTCAAAATTTAGAATTTGTTTGGGTAATGGTAGTTGTACCCACACAACCTCAAAAACTTTTGAGTTTAGGATATTCTAAGATTTTCTGTTTCTTGTTTCTTTGGCTACAACCTAAATGTGGAAAACATCAAATTCTTATTCTTGCTGTATTCATCCAGGGTTCTAGAGACCGTGAACTTTGAAGCGAAGTTCAGCACTTTGCCCCAATTCAAGCCGGACGCGTGTAGCCCAAGCGGTATGGTCGTGCCGCGTAGCCCACAACTCTATCTTAGGAAGAAACATAAGATGGGTATGTCATAAACTAAATAAAAAAAATGTAATAAATGCTAATAAAATGATTCATTACAACATTTACTGTAAGTACTAAATGGCTTGTAGTGTAATCGCAAATTTCTCACAGAAATTTAATAAATTAATATTTGTTACAATTAAAAAATAAATTAATTAACTTTCGTACTACTAAGTACGAACTACATATAACACTTCTTTCCATTACAGAGGACGAGACAACAGTTGTAACGCCACATATAGAAGCGGAAGTAATGAATGGAAACGGAATTCCAACACCCCACTCGTATGGTACACCACACACCACCACGAAGCTCGTGGGGAACACTTTCTTCGGACCTGACTTTAATATTGATACTTTTAGAGGTAATTCTTTGCGTATTTTACATATTTGATTTTTGATTCTACTTGAATTATTAATATATTCAGTTATACTTTGTACATATTGTTAAATTAATTGAAAATGAAAAAAAATTGATTTAATATTAAAACTAAATTGTGAAAGGCGCAGAAAAAAAATTTTTTTGGGCGATACTTTATTTTCAAGGAAGTTTTAAGCAAAATGACAAAACCTAGTTATTATAGTTATTATTTATAATATTATTATTGTTAGTGCCACTAATCACATCTTTCAAATATAATAATATTGTATTTTGTTTTGTGATTCCATTTGTAGTGTCTGAGAGTATGGAGGAGATGTCTCCGCGGACGCCGTGTTCTGCGCCAGGTTCTGGAGCATGCGGGGGTGCGGGAGCGAGGGGGGAAGCAGGACACCGACGAGTCCTTGAACAACGACGTCATCTTGTGCTCAAGCTCTTTCAAGAGCACGGGATGTTTCCAACTACGCAGGCTACCACTAGCTTTCAAGTAAGAGAATTCTCTAGAAAGAGGACATTGCCTTTTTTTAATGATAGAGGAGTACAGACATGGGATTTACTTGATGGTAGGTGAAATATCCCAGCCTATAGTATCTAAATACGATACGTTGCCGACCTATTTCGGCTTTTGATATTCGGAAATCTACACACTGAAACTGAAACCTGATTAAATTTGGCTTTTTCATCTGTGGACGGTAGTTCGTCACCCGGACGTAAATTCGATATTACTACCACCCATTTGAAGAAGAACGTGTTAAAGATGCAAGCAATTATAACGAAGCGCCTTTGTGTTTGTATATTTCGAATTATATATAATTTTAAATTTAAGAAAGTTTAAATCAAATTTACAGGCGGCCCATACAGATATATTCCCGACAAAAATGTCGCTGCAGCTAAAGATACGCGAAGTCAGGCAGAAGCTGATGGCGCAGTCCAATTTGACACCACACTCTGAAGTGAACACACCGACCAGTGAGTTAATAATTTTAATACAGATTACGGTTACGGTTGGAATCGCAGAAGCTCGACAACGAGTTGCCTGTTATGTAGTAGTAGTAGTCTGTAGTATTCATATTTTGTAAATAACTTTAACCAATATATTTCGTGTTTTAAACCCTAAGTATTTGTCTAATGTTGCCTGTTTGCGTAAGCGTACAGACAGTATTTAATACAATGTAGTAACTGAAAGTAGGGTTTCCATGGCTATAATAGACCATTTATGTTTAATTGCCCAATTTTAAAAGTGTAAGTTTCTATGTTCCTTAAAAATAGATTATAAATTAAAGAATATTGTGAAACGGGCAGGATTTGAACCGGCATCCACAGCGTTCCGTGTTGTTGCTCTAACCATTTATTGATTGATTTTTAATTTTTACATGTGAAAAATATTAAAGGTTGTATTTCTGTTGCAGATATAAATTCCCCGTTAGTATCCAGCACGTTGCAGCCGACATCAACGGCCAGTTAGCGACGCGGATATACTCTCTCCATTGTAGTGCGGCAGTGAACTGACAGCGGGTGGGCTGACTTAGTGTTTTCGTTGTGTGCTGGGGACTGACGCGGTTTGGACGTGTGACAAGTCGTAACGAGTTGAAAAATTGAAAATGTACCTTTAGGTATGGAAAAGCCACGATAACGATGTGGTACAGGGACGGTACGTTTCAGCGTTAGATTATATATTTTATATTATCTTACAGTACAATGTTTAGATTGACTGGATTACTATTTTCGTATAATCACATCTTGATGTCTGTCGTGCTGCAGTGGTATAAGGGAGTAGAGAATTTTTAACGTCAAACTTCGATTGAGATTTGCGGCCTAGTTGCATTTAACTAGCGGCGATTGGTTATATTAATTAGTGATAACCAAAAAGTTATTAGGTTAAGGAAAAAACAGAAAAAATACATAAAAATGTTATGTGCGTGACTGTTGTGATACACGGCCGTGTAATAGTGGTAACTCATGTCTCTTCACCATATTTTGATATGCACCTTATATATGTCAATAGAACGTTTATTCCTTAGCGTATAAAATTCTTAAGAGATTCAATTTTCCCGCTTGTAATTCTGTTCCGAATGAAACGTTGGCGTACGTAGAAAGTTGTTAAAATGGTTAGAATAATACTAAACTACCCTACTAATAAACTTCTCTATATCTTTGTCTCTTTCACTCACGTTTCAATTGATATGTCCGTGACACAGACAGAACACAAATCAGCTGTTTATGTATATTGTATTAGAAAAACATATCATTGTTTTTCGGGCTGTTCGGCCGTCGTGAGCGAGAAGAGGTTCTCGACGTTTCGCGTGCAGACGGCATCATCGAAGAATTATGATAATTCTTCGAGCAATCGAGGAGCATCTCGAAAAACGAACGATGGCCGTGAAAGCCTTGCAATTTATGTATTAGAAAAGTCGATATTCAAATGAACAACCCTCAAAGCTGTACGTACTCATCTAAAAATGCGATAATCCGTTTTCCACTTCATTTAGCTAAATATACTCAAACGTGCACGATCTCAATTATTAATTGTATTTTGTTGGAAATATCTAGACTATATGTGTATAATCGAATGTATGTATAGTACGTATATATTTTGTTAAGTTTCGACGTAAGGGAAGATATAGGATGCATATCCTGGGACGTTTGGCTCTATAACAAAATCGGTCTTGTCGGTGTCTACTTTGCATTTAGAGTCCCAAATGTTGTTGCAATACGGATCGTGTAATGCCCCATTGTTGAAGAACGTTTGTTCGTGTAGATAATAGTAGAGATCAAATCCTTCAATAATTCTATTATATCTTTGATTCAGTATGACAGTGTCAAGTATGGAGACAATTGTCTGGGTCCCAATTCTGATAATTACAATGGCGTGGCTTGTAAGAATATCATTTGATATTCTTTTAACCTGGTGGCCTATCGCTGTTACTGAAACTGGCTTTTTATCATCCTGGCCTGTCGGTGGCAAGCCATTATTTGGGATTTATCAGACTCGGGGCTCAGGTTGAACGAAGGAATCGTCAACAGCGGGGCGAATTTTGGTGCAAACATTAATCGTTTAGGTCTTTATCATTTTCTATTTTATGTTGTGATGTTCGTCTTCCACATGTTGAAAAATTTCATTTTATAAAATGAATATCTACTTATTTAATTAATCTATGTACAGTGATTTATTTCAAGTGGCAAGTGGTCGATTCGATGCCATTTTAATGTAAGTTTAGTGTTGTTTCTTATATTATGCCATGACATGGCGTTTTAATATAGCTTAAAGATTTTTCTTTAATTCTGACTTTGGCAAATCTGAGCTCCATCATTGTTCGATCAGCGGCCTTAAAATGGCTACATTGATTTTCAGCAGCCATCATAGTTATTCATATTAGTCTTTTACTGTTAACGTTTTAATGGGCAAAACAATTGTGGACATTTTCAGAATCAGCTCAAATCATTAACGACACTAGTTAAAACGATATTTATACATTAAAATAACAATCTCACTGTAAATATTAGATTTTATTTTAATCTAGACTTAAGCGTTCCTGGCTCTCAAAGTAATTAGGGATTTGTTTATTTAGAATCAATTTTAGATGAGATATATTCATTATTTATACTCGAAAAATTTTCGGCCAATACAAAATGTTTATATGTCAAAATTGTATTTTTTCATGATCTCTTTCGAGTTAGGTAATCGCTTTAGGAGTCCGGAAGTGAAGAGAATTTATTAAATATTATATTATGATAATGTAAGAGAATATTTTCGCACTGTTAAATCTTATCTTTATAGATAGTAAGTAACTCATTCCGAACGTGAACGACCTTTGATTCGATATTGAAACGAGATGCGGTCGGAACGGCTCCTCGTTTGGAACTACGATTTCGTTAAAACAAAAATCTGATTAAATTGTGTCTGTAGTTACGCAAGTATACACATTTAAATTAAACACTTCAACGGTTTAAAACGCAATATATATAAAGATATATTTATTTGGAAATCATTGTATCTACTACCCGACGTTTCCCCTAACCACGACTGTTGCAAAGCATCCGAAACGTCGCGCCGTAGTTAAAATAATTCCCAAATAAGTTTAACTAATATATATATATATATATATATATATATATATACAATTGGTTGCCAATGTCCAAAAGTTGTTGCACAGTTGTCTCAGCTACACATTTTAGCGAAAACCGACCTGTAACGTAAGCGTGAGTCGTTCCAACTGAACCGATCTGAACTCGTTCGAAAAAATACGAAATATTATATACATAGCAATATAGTCAATTCAACGTTTATTACGTATGTGTAATGACAGAATAATGATTGTTACCATATTATATGCAGTTCAGCAGTTTCCCCTCCCCTTCAGAACTCTTGTGTGTGACTGCAGAATGATTGGAATGTCTCTATAATTTTATTTCCTAGCAAAATATTTTATGCCATCTTGATTTTAGCTTATAAACTCGCTTGATAAGCAGAAATTGGTTTAACGAGTTATTTTTATTCGTGAGTGAGCTTATTTTAAAACGATTGCCGTTTTAAGGGTATTAAGGCAATTTTCAACACGAGATATATTTACAATAGAGATAACATTTATATACTAGTAGTTATTCCACTTTTAATGATTAAATTAAAAATTCCATCTACATCAACCTCATGTCTTTTCAAACGAACGTTTAAAATACAAGTCATTTTAATTTCTGATATTTATTTCAAAGTTCTTGATATCACATAGGCCTAATTATGTTATGGTAAATTTGTATGAAAATATGTGAGGTATTAGACGAGAAATATAATCTTGACACATTAATATTGTAATAGTCAATTTGAATATTGTGATTAGTATCCACTCTTCATCCCGAACAATGGTGAAAATATTTTTAATGCACTTAACCCATACTTTTTATTGAATTTTATCTTACACTAGTTTTAAGGCCTTGCCAAATAGTAAGTACAAATTTCTTTGTGAAATACTTATTGTAACATTGTTGAAAATCCTTTTTAGACGATATATTTTTATGTACAAAACAATATTTGACAAGGTCCCGGAACTAGTTACAGGCTTCTATTGATGTTTCAATTTGCTTAGATATGTCCAGTTGTTTATTTGTCTCTTTCTGATGTGATTTTGGATGAATGTCTTTGTTAGCGTAATAACAAATATGAAAATCTTAATGCTGCGTATTACTAGTGCCTTATTGACTCTCAGACCGTAGCATAGATTACAGAACACTTGCTTCCCTATCGACTAGGCTTTGTCAGTCAATAAACTGGGTAATAAGCAGTTTCTTTTAGACTGAATTAACTTTGTTGCATATAACGAGTTGTAATGTTATATTATTAAGAGATATTAGATTAATTTTGACAAACATTTTAAATGGAGCATTTCATATTCGTTATTTATTTCTTCTAAATAAGGTATTAGTCTAATTGTTTAGTCCAACTGGCAAACATTGTAAATAACGTGTTTAGAACGGTTTATTTAGATTTAAGTGTTCAATTTAATGTAAACTAGATTGAATTAGACGAGACCTTTGAATCAGAAATGGAAATCACATCGTAGTGGACTTTTTTTAATGAATCCAATTAATGGACCAATAAAAGTATAATCTTTGTAATGGAAACAGACAACAGTGCAGGTAATATATAAACGAAACGGTTACTGCGGACATACTGTTCAAGCATATTGGATCATTGTATGAACTTATGTTTAAACATAAAACCTAAAAAAACGTGTTTGTGTTTTATTTATTTTAACCCTTACACCCTTAATTTATTAATACACAATAATAATGCTAGACTATTTTAAAACCAAAATGAAATATCTCGTGTCTGAAGGATTCCTTTCCTCACCCTCTGAGCTTTACCTACACAAGTAGAAACAACAACAGACTTCTAGGAACATATTTATTTTCAACATTTTAAATAAAACATAGTCATCTAATAAGTATTGACTACTGAATAGTTTTTATCAGTAACTCTGGTCTCTCCTCTTCCAGCAAAGAAATAGCAGACTGAAGTTCTAAATTATCACCGGGCTCACTAATAACTAAATATTTTAATGATGTCATTCTTGCTAATGCAAGTATTGAGCCTTCACATATATTACAGCCGCTAATATCGAGGAATTCCAAACTATTTCCGTTTTGTCCTGCTAGTCTGTCTAGACACCAGACATCAACATATTTATTGTTCTTTAAGGAGAGCCATTTAAGGAAATTGAGGCCTGATAGATTTTGGATTCCTTCATATCTAATACCATTATGGTGAAACTTGCTGCAGTCTACTGCTTCAATGAAATAGCCATCAACAAAGTGATCTGGTAAGTCTAAAGATGTTATGTCTCCAGAAATCCATACCTTGGATCCCCTCAATCTAAAACAATAAAAGATATTAGATTCAAATAAATCTTACACCATATATGTCCTAAAAAGCTACTTTTAAGAAAATTTCAAGAAAATGTTCTATGAGCATCAATTTAAATATAAACATTTTCTACTTTTAGAATATGTTATTGTTTAATTATATTTTTCACAAGAACATTCTACTTAGATATAAAGGCTATAGCTTAGCCTTAAAAAAAATATTGAATCATACCAGTAGGACTTCAAACTCTAGCTTAAATCATTTAACTCTACTTATAAAATAGAGTTTGATAGAAGAATAATAAATAAATCACAATACCTAACAGAACATTGTCGGTAAGTGAAGAAGTGAAGTGCTGCTAAATTACTGCCTAGAGCAGCAACTCTCTCAGGTAAGAACTTTTGGTTAACTTCTTCCTGTATCACTTTCATGTCTTTCCACCACAATTTAATATCAGTAACGGTAATGTTCGGAAGTTTGTGCATAGCATTAAGGACACTCATGCTAGGATTTTTTTCAGCGAAAATGTTTAGTTTGCTTCTTGATTCGCCTTCCCGCTTATGCCAAGGTTTTCTCCAATCAGGATACAACTCTCCATACACTTTCCTTGGCTGTTGGCCCCTCTCATGTTTCTCATACAATGATTCGTTTTTACCTTCACAATATTTACGAATTATTTGTAAGACGCGAACATTTGTTTTACACCTTAAATTAATTGCCATTTTTATGTATTTGTACTTTTACATCATATTGTTAGAATACACCTTTTGTGGTCTATAACATAATTCAGAGATAATTATTAGAAAAATAATTACTTATAAGAAATGTATATAAGAGGTTATTTTGAAAAAGTTCAAATATTAAATGACAGCTTGCTAAGTTATGTAAGTGTTGACATTGACATAAACTAACTTTGACATATCTGTCATCTCTGCCATCATCGTTTTCGTTCATTTATTTGTGATTAATTTTTACACAGGACAGTGTTGTCCTGTGATAAAAAAAAAACAGTTTTCATCACAGAAAACTGAATAATCCGTAGTCCAAAATGAGGGAAGATACTTGTCGCGAAATTCTGATGTTCTGAGCTTCATTTAGTTATGCCCAAAGGCATATTTTGGTAAGAAGTTTATTGCTAGAAGTTGTGGGTAGTTGGCAACCGTTCCAATTAATGATAACGCAGATTGCATCAGTAAAATTTAGTTATTAAAATTCAACTACACTGTAATTATAAATGTTATGTAGACTACGAATAACAATGACTAGTAATTTTCGTTAATATTAATATTACTAAGCATTGAAGGTACTTAAAAAAATAATCAAAAGCTCTTTAATATTAGGAATTTGTCGGTTTTATCAGAACGACTAATTCTTCTACCAAAAAATTATGCACTTGATGAATTTTTCTTTTTCAGAGTTGTTCTTGGCTCTTGGCACGAGTCCAAAAGGACGCTTCGTTGGTTTATTTAGATCACAGCGTTCAGTTGACTTCGCAATAACCGAATCTATTCCAATCAAGCTTTCCTTATTTTTTACAATTATTACAAAACATCGTTCATATTGTATAAATAGATAGCGATTTACGAAAGATTTCGTGCTTGAACCAAAGTGGTATAGTGGAATATGTTCAGAGCCAAAAATGTATAGAACGTACGTATGTTTTACTATTTCTTAGAGTTAAGATTGTATTACTGTAAATGCTATTTCAAATATTAACTTTATTTAATGTGGTAGGTTCGTTTTATTTACACATAAGGCATCACGCGAATCACAAGCCTTTTAAAACATAAAATTCTTACCGAATAATTAACGCAACGTACCTACTGCGGTACGTTGTCAAATAATAGACACATTTTTTTGTCTGTTTTCTGTCTAACTATCAGGAAATTTATTTAAGATCCAATAGATTATCAGATTTTCTGAAACGAACTAGTTTAATAATATAACTTGATTGTAGGTTACTACTACTGCTTCTTTCGCTGACCAGTGTATCTAACGGCCAGAAAGTAAAATGTGACCAGACACCGCCGCAGGCGACGGTGCGCACGCCAACCGAAAATAAGGGCATTTATCGGATGACCATCAGTACGAAAGGGAACGATACGAATATTTACCGTCCTGATCAAACTTACGTTTGTAAGACATACATTTTATTTTACTCATTATTAACGATCTGTTTTGCTCAGAGCGTTTTATACTGTTGGTATTCTCTTCTTGGAATATATTTTTTAAGTCTAGATTAGTCGGACAGAAATTTTTGTATTTCTTATATATGACATGTTTTGTTTTACCGTTTACTTGCGCAAGAGAAGCCCGCACGATGTGTTATTTTCCCGGTTTTTCTTCAATTTTCCACTGCCTCTGTACCTATTGGTCGCAGCGTAATGTTATATAGCCTAAACCTTTCATGATAAATGGTCTAAACCGATTCGAGTAGTTCCCGAGCCTACCAAATCCTTTTAAACAAACAAACTGTTCAGCTTTATAATATTAGGTAATATTGATTAAAGGCTATTTCCAGTAAAACTAACAACAAACAACTCGACACGACCATTCCGTTGGTTCATGATAACTGTGGAGGATCCTGATGTAGACGGTGCTAGTTCTGAGTTTGACCCCAAGCTGATAAACGTTGGCAGCCTGAAGACCATAGACACCAATAAGATGTCCCGCTACAGCGAACGATGTTACAATTCAGTGGAAAACACTGATAATTCTGATAAATATAAAGTAGAGGTAATTTAATTTCAATTTTTTATTTCTTATAAGGACTTATACAGATTCATCAAAGATTATATCAACAAACACATGTAATTTTAACTTCGCTAATCGTAGTATGATGAATGTATTTAAATAAAACACTTAAACGGTTTAAAACGCGAAATATATTAGTTTAACTCATTTGAAAATTAATTTAACTGTGGTTTATCTACTTTGCAGCAATTCGTGGTCATATTTTAAACCGTTAAAGTGTTTTATTTAAATGAGTACTACTCGCTTAAACTACAGACAATTACTACTTAGTGTAATTGTAAATAGGTCCATGATTAATAAATAAATATTTTAATTAAAACACTTTAACGGTTTAAAACGTGATAGATATATTATTTTAATCCCGACGTTACGGATGCTTTGCAGCAGCCGTGGTCACGGGGAGATGCGACGTAGCTGTTATATATCGCGGTTTAAATCGTTAGAGTTTCATTTTATTACTAGTACTACTCGCGTAAGTTATGGACGTTCATGCTAAACAGATGATTGTTAATTCTAGATCCACTGGGTATCGCCGAAGCAAAGCGGTAGCAAACAAAAGGTGCGTCTGCGCGCTATGGTCGCTGAGAACGAAGAAGTATGGCACATCGGGGAGAACCTGACGATCTATTTGGAGAAAGATGACCGTCGCCCTTTGGACAGTCCTCCTTACTTGGCGACAGACTCTTGTAATTTGTGCAGCGAAGCACAGTATGAGGTGGGTAATTTTGTCTAGTTCTACTACAGTACTAATATATAAAGCTGAAGAGTTTGTTTATTTGTTTGTTTGAACGCGCTAGTCTCAGGAACAACTGGTTCAAATTGCAAAATTATTTTTCATGATAGAGGAGGACAGACAAACACAGGGTTCACATAATGGTAGGTGAAATACCGCTATAGCACCTAAACTAAATGCACTGTCGACCTATTTTAGCTTACATTTTCGCAATTCACAGGCAGTAATCGACGCGTGATTAAAATTCACGACTTTTTCATCTGTGGACGGTGGTTAGTGACCCCGGCGATATTTCACATTCCTACCACCCATTTAACACATAGATTTCCAGACTAAGTCCAAGATGTTTCAGAAACATGATAAATTGATTAGAAAAATGTTGAACACCGGACGGGATCGAACCTACGGATGCTTTGCAGCAGCCGTGGTCATGGGGAGACACGGGGAAGTTTAACTAATATATCGCGTTTTAAACCGCTAAAGTGTTTTATTTAAATGTGTACTACTCGCGTAAACTATAGGCAGTATTTAAGCCTTCTCTATTTTCATGCATCTTACCTGTAAAATCTTGTGCACTGCTTTGTTAAAACCCACTGAACCGTTCATCGCATCGAGTAATGTATGTTCTTTAATTAAATTTAATTGGAATTTTACGGCTATTTAAATCATGTAGAATATAATGATAACAATGCTTGGGGTATGGAGGTACCCACTCTAACAAGGAAGAAGATATCCACATTAACTGCGCAAGGATTGTAATTTGATTGTAACAAAGACTTGGCAATAAGAGGAGTGGCTGCGAGTTTCTTGACAGTTCTTCTCGTTCGTTCGACGCCCTTAAATTGGGAACTGGTAGTAACTGTAAATTTAGAGTTTGAAATTGTTACCTCTTTTGATGTTTAAAAGTGCACTACATGAATAAATGATTTTTTATTTTGATTTTTATAGTGCAAATAAATAATGTGTCTTTCTTTCAATCCTTGTAAGTTTTGATTGCAATCCTAGACAGTTATAAACACAAAATGGCATTGTGCAAGTCTTTCATGCAATTAAGATTTCAAAAGCAGTTTTGCATCTGTTGTTAAAACATTTTAACTTTCAATCCTCTCAATGGTAGAAGTAATTACAAGTTTGAGTCAGTACTTACCTACTTCCTAAAGTTATTTAAGCGCAGTACGGAAATCAACGTTTTTAACTTTCTACTTTATATTAAAAGCGAAGTCCTGATTTTTCGCATTCATCCTGGTTGAGGCTGAATGACTTTTACTATGCTATACTGATGTATATAGCACTACATGGGGAATATGTGTAGTATTATTCAGTTTTTCAGATCATATATATATATATTTATATTGCATACCTAGTTACATAATTGAAATCCGTTTTATATCATAGAGGAGGTCAGAAAAGCATTGAGCTCACTTGAGGGTAGATGAAATAGCCCAGCCATATAACATCAAAACAAGATGCGCTAGCGACCAATTTCGGCTTCGGATATTTAATAATACAAAGACTGAAACGCGATTAAACTTCACGGCTTTTTCATATGAGGTCGGTGGTTCTTGACTCGGACGAAGTTTCGTTATTCCTAACGTTTAAAATTCAGATTTCCAGCATGATTCAAAAAATATAAATTGATTTGGAACATGTTGGTACTGGTGGAGATCGAATCCACGCCACGTTGGTTAGCCATACATTGCTACCATTTCACCAACGAGCCGGTCTGATGTTGTTTTTAGATTGTACGCAGTAGCTTAGTTGGTGAACCGAGGTGCTTTGTTAGTCGTAGGTTTGAGACCGGCCTGTGTTGTATAATTTTTTAACCTTCCTAAGCCTACCTTTTTCCTTTCAGGTAATCTTCAAAGGGCCGTTGGTCCCGAATGACACATCCACGTTATTACCCGAGCAGACCGGACGACAACGGGTACAGTCACATGATTGGGGCGTCGCATTCTTATTCGCATATCGTGTGGCAACCAGGAGATAAAGCATCTCCTGGTTTGAAACAATTAGCTGAGGAAAGTGATATAAGCGTCATTGAGAGAGAAATTATTGATGCTGTAAGTATAAGAAAGCTAGTCATACACATTATATACTTAAACAAACAAAAAAAGCTGAAATAAAAATGTTCAAAGCTCAAATAAGCCATTTTAATTATATGTTATAGGATCGAAACATTGTACTTTCGTCTCCTCTATCTATTGTGCTATCGTACATAATATTAAAAAAGCAAAACAAATGGGCCGACAACACATCTCAATTACACGGTCGAGGACTGAATCATTTACGTTACATTTTTTTTATAGCTCATAAGTAAGCCATATCAATAAATTTAAAAGGTCGCATATAAAATTATCTTATTTAACTTGATTTTTAATGAAGGAGAAACCTCTTTAAGCCTTATAAGATAATCAATAAATATATCATTAAAACTTTGGGATTGGAAGAATTCGATGCCATGTACGGGGAACCCACCGAGCTTCAATGTGAAATTTTATTTTTTTAATTTATATAACATCACAACACAACAAATATTAACATTCAAAGTAAAAAAATCAAAATAAAACACTTTTAAGGTTTTAAGCCGTTAAACGTTTTATTTTAATGTACCATTCGAAAACGTATAAAACTAAAGCTAAAAGATCACTAGAAAAATATGTTTATATGTCTTTGAACATTTCAGATGTCACCTCAAAACGGTACAAGGACGTTAATCATTGGAACCCGTCGCTACCACCCCTACATGTCAGAACCGTCCCACTCCTTATTTCGAGTTGACAGAATTCATCATCTCTTCTCAATGGTGGTGGCTATGAAGCCCTCACCCGATTGGTTCTTGGGCGCGAGCAGGTTTGAACTATGTACCAATGTTGGCTGGTTGGAGCAATCGGAGATCCCGTTGTTCCCATGGGACGCTGGAACTATGGATGGAATTTCCTATGAGGTTATTTTAAGATTTTTCTCCGAATTTGAAGCTAGGAAGTTGACAAGAAAAACTAGAGAAATTTAAACCCAGCTCCCTTGATAATACATATTGACTGCGAAGCAATTTTGATAAAAAGCATTTAACTAAGTTTTATTTTTAAATAAAACACTTTAACGATTTAGAACGCGAAAAATACAAAATATGTTTACAAATTATCTTTAACTACGGCCCGACGTTTTGGATTCTTTGCTTCCGTGGTAACGGAAAGACCTGTGGTAATTTGTAAACAAGTAATATATTTCGCGTTAAAGTGTAAAATATAAATGTGTACTACTCGCGTAAACTACAGACACTATTTGAGCCTTATTTTGCTTTTTAAATCCTACAAAAGATACTGAATCAAATTGAACTTATTGGGTTTTTTTATTCTTAATATGAATCATATCGTCAAAAAATTGTCCCCATGCTGCAAGTTACTTTTTCTGTTTACAGTCCCCTCCATCCATAACTCAACCGGTTGATGCCGTCGATCGAGTCGCAGTGGGTTCGTTCAATAAGGAATCTCCATTCTATCAGATGAATTTGAACGAGCTTAAGCCATTTGCCCTCTTACAAGTCAGAAGACTAAACGTATACCCACTAGTTGGAATGGACTGTAATGAAGAGGGTATGTAAACGACAATATGATAAAAATATATCTTGGAATTTAAAAGAAGTTTTTGTTGTAGAAGACGTTTTTGTCGTTTAAATATTGATTAACGTCATAATAACCATTTTCAAGTAGTTTTTGTTTTACATACGATTTTAACGTATCGACAGTTTGCATGTCACTGGGGATTTTGTTAAAATGTGTTATGCAATTACCTTGAAAATAATTACTACTGTCATGCAGCCTTCTTGGTTGTTATTCATATATTTCTTTTCTTCTCAATGCTAAATTAAAAAAATAAAAGACACATGTTTTAGAGACATTACAATCACTAAAATCAACAAATTGTTTATTTTTCTGAATTCAGCATCCATCTCTGAAGATGAAAAAGAACAGCGGGAGGACAATGTTGACGAAGAGTAAGTATTTTTTGACGGGTTCGTTGGTCTAATGATAGCAATGTAAGGCTAATAATCAATGGGTCGTGGATTCGATTACCACCAGGTCCAACATGTTTCTAATTTTTCAATTTATATTTTTTCTGAAACATGCTGGACTTCGTCTGGAAACCTGGATATTAAATGGGCGTGGTAGGAATATAGAAATTCCCTCCGGGTCACGAACCACCGTTCACAGATGAAAAGGCCGTGAAGCTTTATCGCGTTTCGGTTTCAATCTGTGGATTTCCGAATATCCAAAGCTGAAATAGGTCGACAGATGTTTTTGATGCAACAGGCTGGGGTATATCACCTCCCATCAAGTGAACCGGATGCCAAGTCTGTGCTCCTCTATCATTTAAAAAATATTTTTATCGTTACTAAGAAGATTCAAGCATACATTTTTTTCTAACAACTTTCCTATAGGCTTGAGGGTGATGAACCGAGACTGCTAGAATCGAAAGTGGCCCAAAATTGTGCACCAACTGAATGGGGTGACTGGTCCGAATGTGTCCCAGACGTGGGGAATTGCGGTATTGGGACTCAAGTTAGACTACGGCAAAAACAGAAGAAGGTGTTTTATGAGAGTTATCAGGTCAGTCAAATGTAGATAAGGGACGAGTTAGAATATTAATAATTTATATTATATAGATCTCGACCAATTAAACTATTGTGTAGCTACAAATTATTAAAATCTTCCTAAATAACGCTTAATTACTATCCTTTGGTTGAAATTATGTGTCTGAAAACAGGAATTTTCTTAAGATTTCTTGTTTTTTTTACTACTTATTATCTACTGGTAATACTAGTGCAATTTTCTTTAGTAAAATGATACTTTTTTTCATATTTACTACTTTCTGAAGTTCACGCGATTACACATTTAAATAAAACACATTTTATGGTTTAAAACTAAAATATATTAACTTTTAAAATTTTGTTTCAACTACGGCCAAACGTTTTCCCCCATGACCACGGCCGCGGTTTAAATAGATTGTAAATAACAAATATAGAGCAACAGCACGGAACGCTGACGGTGCCGGTTCGAGTCCTGCCCGAGTGCAAAATTTTTTCAATTTATTTTCGATTTTTAGATAACAAATATATTTCAAGTTTTAAACCATTAAAAGTGTTGTATTTAAATTTATTAATTTCTAACAGGTGGATAGCGATGACGATGACGGCTCGTGCGCATCTGACTCACACGGAACGGAACAGTTTCAGCGTTGTTATGTTGCATGTTGAAGGCACAGAGCAGCAAACATCAGCTATTCATCCAGAATGCAAAACTAAAAATGAAATGCGCAACGGAAAGCAGGAAATTGTTCGAAATAATTGACAATCAATTTGTTGCTTGTTCGATGTTCCAGGAGATACAGCCTCAACGTACATAGCTTAAAATGTCCAGCATTTATTTATTATAACCGAGGAGACATTTTATTACTTTTAGAGTATTTTTGTATCATATTTAATAAATTATTTACTGTATGAAAACTTTAAATATTTTTCTCATATTATTAATGCACACGATGGCACTATGTAAATTAAAAATCGATTATAAATTGAAAAAAAAAACTTAATACGAAAGTCTTAAAGAAATTATATTGCGCGAGAGCCACATGTATCTAATGATACAATTAGCTTGTTTGCTTAGAGCAACAGAACTAAACGCTGAGGACGCCGGTTCAAGTCCTGCCCGAGTCATAATTTTTTTTCAATTTATAATCGATTTTTAAATGATTTACTGTTAGATGATTTATTATCAAACAGTTACGAGGAGGTTATAAAAGACTAGATCCACCACGCTGCTCCATTACGGGTTGGTGGGCAGGACAAAATTACCTAAGATACTTGTTTATTAATTTGGTATTCTCTATTCCTATTTCAAAAAACACGATGAGTTTTACTTTATGTTCTGGTCCTTGTGGTCTGCAGATGACTGCATAAGCTTTTTGCAACATATAAAATAATTAGTAAATAATTATAAATTAATTAGTCACAGCGCAATGTTTTATAGCCTAAAGCCTTCCTCAGTAAATACTCTAACGAACACAAAAATATTTTTTCAATTCGAATCAGTAGTTCCTGAGATAAGCGTGTTCAAACAAACAAAATTTTCATCTTCATTTATTTGTATAGATGACATAAACAAAACTTAGTTATTATAGCTTTCAATCAAGTTTTCAGCGCTACCTTTCGATGTTTCCTCAGAATTCCTTAAAGAAAATGGATGTGTCAAGTTGTTCTATTATTAGATCGTAATAAAATTCGATTAAGAGGTAATAACACAGAGTGGCAGGGACCGAGGTCTGACGTAGCTCGAGATGCATCCAGACAGTAACCGTTAATCTTATACTTTAGAAGCTGGATGTGGCGTAGACCTGATACAAATAACGTTTAGGCACGCGACACATACAAAGCGATTACTTTCGATGGATAAGAAAATATATCTCATAATATTTTATTGTTATTAGATAGATGTTTTGAAGACTTAAGTATTATCTGTAGTTGACTCAATTAACACATTTAAATAAAACATTAAACGGCTTAAAACGCGAGATGTATTCGGTAACTTACATATTATATTTAAAATAAATTGTAAATAAGCTATCATATCACGTTTTAAACCGTTAGAAATGTTTTGTTAAGAAGGCTGTAAGGTTCTTTCACGTAAGCAGCGTATGGCGAAGAGTGGTTATTATAAATCTATAACAGAATACAGAATTGCACATTAAGAGACACTTCTAATGTGTCCTTTACTAAAACGAGATGAGCGTTCTCTCTTTCGCACGATTCCTTACAAAGAAAAAGGACAATAGATACAGTAAATTAAATCAATTTAAACGATATATGAAGAAGTCAAAGTCTTCTGTGTTTTAATTATATCAATTTACAAGAGGGTTAATTCTTCTTATTTTAGTTGCACTATATAGTATCTAGTTCGCTATTTATATAGCAGAGGCATTACACCAAGATTAGATAGAGAATATGGCCTCTAATTGGTGGGTTAATTTGATTGTTTGTGGCAACTTGGGTACGAAGTAATAACTTAGAGTCTTATGTGATATACACCGTCTTAATGAGAGTGAGCCGGATTAAACCGGATTAGATCGATTTAAATGAATTAGACGAATTTACTGTTAACCATTGTGGAAATTAGTTTCTTAAACGTGACATCTTTATTACCTTTCAAATCTCGTATTTATTGATTATAGAAAGAATTGTGAAAGTTATTTTACGAATTAAAACCACCACGACTTAAGTTTAACAAACAAACAGCCTCGACGTCTACAGATATGGAAGCGGGAATGTTTAATCGTTTTTCGGTTTCAGACAGTGGATTTCCAAATATCAAAAAAAAAAATACGGTTACAGCACATTTTGTTTAAATATTATAGTCCTACCACCATCACCATTAACTGTATGGTTATAATTTTAACGTCGGGCCGAAGTTAGTCATTTTCAAATAAGTTTAACTAACATATCGCGTTTAAACCGTTAAAGTGTTTTATTTAAATGTGTACTACTCGCGTAAACTATGGACAGTATTTGTCTGTCCTTTTCTATCACAAAAAACATATGTTTTAGAATATTTAGTTAACCATTAAAAAAGGGGTTTTATATGAGTAATATTAAATATTAAGCTACATTAAATGATACTAAGAAAAGTACCATGGATGAAAAGAAGAATTTCAGTTAGAAATTACTTTCTTACCATACCATAGCAATTTAACGATTCAATAAAGTGGATAATATCACTTAGCAGAAGTCTTAACAATTGCGCAGTAAAAACTTTTGATATTTCCATTTCGTTTGTCGTGAATCATATCCGCGTATATTATGCTCCTACGACATATTTTAGTGGGTCATAAGATCTTGGAAAGCAGCCAGGGGTGATATATGCCCTTTTTACTTCCGCCCTATTAATCATAATTCAATGATTGTCCGTTTTCGGTAATAAATAATAAATTATATATGATGTATGTATTCTCTTTGGATATAAAGCGAAATTTTAACGTAAACTACCCAAAATTTTCACTTTCCAGTGAGGGTAGTATAGCATATTGAGAACTGTTTGGAATAAAATAACTAAAATTGGAGGGTAGTTCTGTTTTATCTTTACGCCGGCGGAACGAAGCTAGCGCGCGCTGACACACCTTTTCGGGTGCCGCTCGTGTAAGTTGATTGTGCACAGATTTTGAGTGACGTGGTTGCGAATTGAGAATAAAAGTTTTTAGGCCCGCGTGTAAAGAATACTACTACTTATTAAATACTGTCTGTGGTAGAGACATGGCTGACAGACAAGGCTGCAGCGAAGCATCCGAAACGTCGGGCCCTAGTTAAAAATAATTTTCAAATAAGTGTAACTAATATATATCGCGTTTTAAACTGTGTAAGTGTTTTATTAAATGTCTATTTATTGTTATAATGGTTTATAGTTCAGTGCGTTTTTACGAGTGGTGACTAAGTTTATACACTTTTGTTTCTTAATATAATTGTATACATTCTTATATGGGCGAACTTGCCCAGTTACCATATACAGACACGCAATAGTGCAAATAAACCAGGACAACCACTGGAGCGGAGGTATGTACTTTTTGAACCTAATTAATTATTTGCTAATTAAAAGTGCGTATCGACATTTTTACCTTCTTGTCGATGGTGTTTCAATAATTACAGGTCTGCACACAAACAGTTTATAAGGCATTATTTAAAATAAAGGTTGTCTATGTTACCGTTTGTAACTGGTCCAACTGGTAAGATTTCATGTAAAAATTATAACAGCATAATCCTAATGTCTCCCCCAGAGTACACTAAAATTTTGAAGCGAGTCATTTTGAAACAATTTCTCTTTGAGATTTCCCAGCAGGCGCCCCGCCTTGCAAATAGTTCATATAGAGCACACGAAAATTGAATCTTAAAAGGATTGAATGGGCTGTACAAAAATTAGCATGGGGGAGAAGGGGGAGTTTTGCTAGTAATTTAATTGATTTTCTTAATAATCACTTCTACCACTTACGTCATACAGAAGCATAACATTGTGAATCACTATAAATATATTACGTACATTTATTAACACAAGTTTTTATTTAATAATTGAAAATTACTAAAATAATATTTTTGAATCGATAACTTATTTTCTTTGAAACTCTAAGAAAAATAAGTTATTATAATGTCACATAGGACACTTAAAAATAAATGTTAGTCAATAAACAATAATACATCTTTAATTTAATAGCAACTAGTTATAAATGAATACTACTTATTTTTCATTTTTAACCGACGTCAAAAAGGGAGGTTTTCCATTCGACTTGTGTATTTGTGCTTTTCAAATGTTTGTTCGCGCATTGCTTTGTTTTTTAAGTAGCAAGGTTTTCTTAAAAATGTAAATAAATAAATAACTTCGTATATACCAAATGTCTTGAAATAACAATTTAGTGCTTTATTTTTGTTTGAAGATAGAGGAGAGTAGTATTTTTTGATGTTACCAAATACTTGACGTATTTATAAGAGTAAAAAACATAGTTGAAGATACTAGCGTTAACTGCAAGAACGTTTGAACCACACCGTCGCGTCTCCGACACCGATCCTAGAATCGTGGCCGCGGCGAAATGACACAGATTTACCCTCCTTAAGGCACGCATGAAATTAATATACGGACTCATTACAGTAACTAAAGACCGCCATCAAGGGGCCGACTCACTCGTTAATTTTAATTGGAAATTCATACGTTCACATTAAACTAGCGGCGTTTTTAAACGAAACAATTTCGCAAAACTTCAACGATTGCCCTCACTGAAATAGGCCTCGAATTAATTTCAAACTGGAAAAATCCGCGATAGCTGTAAAAGTTTAAAATAATTGCCGCGATCCGCCTATTAATAGAATGAGGGATAATTTCAATTTTGCCGGTTGGAAATGTATCCGAGGTATTTTGCGCTTAATTTTCGAAATCGGGAATGACGTTACGGACCCATTTTTCAGTTTATAATTTTATTTCATAAAAATGTTATATATTTTTGTATGTCAAGTAAATCTGCATTCAATTTCGCATTGTGTGGTAGCTTTTAACGTGTGGTTAGGCAATTTATTGAGAAACGTAATGAAAAGAAACTATTAATTGACGTGCTCGTTGGTGGTAGCAATCAATGTTTGACTAATATAAACGGGTCGTGGATTCGATCCCCATTGGGTCTATTTCTATTCTCGTCAATTTATAATCTCTTTGTCTCGTAATCTGGGTA